ACCCTGGGGGTCCTTTTTTTTTTTTATTCATAAGCCTACATCATCATAGAGATTGTTTTTGGATTAGACCAACCTTTAATTCGGTTGATGGATTTATCCCTGAGTTTTCATCTTAGATTAAGGGGTAGATGAGAGATCTTCCTGCAGGAGACCAGAGCTGGAAGTTAGGTCTTGAGGTAACCATGGCGTTTGGAAATGCCGACTCTTGACCTTCAAGCTGTTCAGGTATTTCAGTGACAGCTAAGCTGCTAGGGCTGTCAGCGAGGCGCAGCAGGAGAGGGGATTTGCAGGCATTTATTATTCTGTTGAGTATCTCACACATATTGTTGGGAGCTGAGGTTGCAAAGATTAAAAAAAAACTGTTGAGGTTGAAGAAACAAATAATTAGAGTCTAATGTTAGAAGTGCAAAAATAGAAGCAAGAGCCAAGTGTTGTGGAGCACTTGCTAGAAGTTTATCTTATACCTGTTTATATAAGCCTCTGTGTTCATGTTCACTTTCCATGATAAGTTTTAGTACGTACTGTTCTCTCTGGGAACCTTTGGACACTGTGTTACCTGTTACTTATTAAGAGGCCCAGTCAGGGTCGATTCTGACAGCTTGGGGAGCTTACGTGGGAGTCCTTTTAGTGCAGAGTCAGGCTCATGAGGATCTGAGATGTTTGTAGGTGGTGGTAGTAGTTTCCAGTCTGTGCCAGGAAGCAGAGATGGCACAGTGGGTAAGAGCATGGTCACCCATTTTCTTTTTCTTTTTTCTTCCTTTTTTATAGCAAAGGTGGAAATTTATTAAAGAACAAGTACCAATTCCCACGTGGGGAAGGGGAAAGAATCCCACAACACAGACTCCCACGTGGGGAGGTGCTCTGTGTGTGACAGGGGGAGCTCCCCAACCCCCTGATCGACCCTGCTCATGAGTAAAACAATGCCGAGAAAGAAGAAAGTCTTGAGGTTTTCAGACTTTGCCGTTTGTGTGGCCCTGCATTTGAGAGCAGCAGTAGTAAATGCCAGCCCCCTGCTTCTCTCCTGTGGAGAGAGCCTCCCCTGTGCTGTGGGCGAGTGGGCCTGTTTGATTGACGACCTCAGTGCGCTTCTGGGGAGGAAGCGCCTCTCCTCTCAGAGCAGAGAGGTCCAAGTTGGATGTAGCCCTTCATTGGGCATCTTTTTTGAACGCCCTTGGGCACTCAGGCTTCCTGCGGCATGAGGAGAACTTAGGACAGGGCTTTCACACTTTGGTCACTTTCACATCCCAAGTAGTTAATTTGCTATTCTACAGTGCCTTTTACCTCCAACTGCCGCCAGTTCCCCAGGATCTAAAATTTTAGCATCTGTTCTCCTTTTAACCAATTTGTCAACGTTTCAGTTTTTTTATTTCATACTCAGTGTTGTCCTGCATATTCTTTTTTTAAATATATTTTATTGATTTTTTACAGAGAGAAAGGGAGAGAGAGATAGAGAGCTAGAAACATCGATGAGAGAGAAACATCAATTAGCTGCCTCCTGCACATCTCCTACTGGGGATGTGCCCGCAACCCAGATACATGCCCTTGACCGGAATCGAACCTGGGACCTTTCAGTCCACAGACCGACGCTCTATCCACTGAGCCAGACTGGTTTCGGCGCCCTGCATATTCTTGACTGGCCAGAATAAAAAACTGTTTATCTTTTTGGAGCTCCATTGAATACACTTTAATAACACCAGCAAGACCTTTCTCCTCCTGTCACAAGGATCGTAGAAGGCTAAATTGGGATGCCTTATCTAAAATACCCGTAAAGTAATCCGTATTTTGTAAGATAATTTGAAACTTTGTCAAGTTCTAACTCAGTTGCAACTAACATGAGCTGCTTTCCTAATCTAAATCAACAGTAGGGGCAGACTTGAATGATACATCTGATTGGTCACCCACAAGCGGCATCTACTTCCATTTTGCAGAAACCTCCTATTCACTTTCCATGCACATTTCTTGGTTTTCATACAAAGGGATTCTGATGTAATTAGAGATACACTTATACATTTTAGGCTGTACTGTTGAACTTCCTGGCCGTCCAGTAGAGAGATGTTGTTTTTGCGTAGTGCTGTACAAGATGTGACAGTGCCATTGTTTATCTTCTGTGCACCGAGGACTAAACCTGTGACCTGTGAACGGGTGCTTGGTTTGACATGGGGAGACCAGTTCCTTTAAAAAAGCGGTTCTCAACCTGTGGGTCGCGACCCCTTTGGGGGTTGAACGACCCTTTCACAGGGGTCGCCTAATATTATCAGAAAACACATATAATTACATGTTGTTTTTGTGATTAATCACTATGCTTTAATTATGTTCAATTTGTAACAATGAAATTGGGGGTCACCACAACATGAGGAGCTGTATTAAAGGGTCACGGCATTAGGAAGGTTGAGAACCACTGCTTTAAATGAACTCAGTATGGTACAAAGTAATTTTTACTTGCAGTTGTGTTTATGATTCAGTCTCATTCAGATCAGTGTGTGTTCCCTTTTGCCCACTTTCACTGTGTGCAAACGTATGAACAAGAGGGCTGCTCAGGGACACTCGTAAAGCATCCTTGTCTTCTCTTTAATTTTTGTTTATCTTGAATCCCCTCTGCTTCTGGAGTAGTTGATGTTCTCCATGAAGTCCTGATTGGCAGAAATGTTGGCCTTGGCCTTTCAGGGTGTCCAGATACAGTGCTGTTGGCAGGGCTCGTGTTTCTCTGCACTCAGGACAAGCGGATGGAGCTGCGAGTGGACTGCGAATTAAAATGCTGCCAGGCTTTGTTTACACCTACTGTCTTAGTCTACTTGGGCTGCTATACAAAATATCTCAGCCGAGGTGGCTTGCACACAACAGGAATTTATTGTTAGTGATTCTAGAGCAGCTGTGGGCAAACTACGGCCCGCGGGCCCGTTTGAAATGAATAAAACTATTGAAAAAAAAGACCGTACCCTTTTATGTAATGATGTTTACTTTGAATTTATGTTAGTTCACACAAACACTCCATCCATGCTTTTGTTCCGGCCCTCCGGTCCAGTTTAAGAACCCATTGTGGCCCTCGTCAAAACGTTTGCCCACCCCTGTTCTAGAGGCTGGAAGTCTGAGATGAGGGTGGTTGGGTGGTAGAAGGGGCTAAGGAGCTGTCTGGAGTCTCTTTTATGAGGCACTAATCCTTCTTATGAGGGCTCCACCCTCATGATTTAAGCACCTTCCAAAAGGCCCGCCTCCTAATACCATAATTTTGGGGTGTTAGCATTTCAACATAGGGATTTGAGGGGAACACAAACATTGAGACCAGCACTTAGGCAGTTTTATTATTGTCATTTTCCTTGTTGGCCTCCTGTTGTCTTGAGCCCTGTGATAGCTCTTGTGTTCTTACCTTGCTGCCATTCTTCTTTGCCTCAAATGGCCTTGTTAGAATATCTGGAATGCTTTCAGCTTCTATCAGCCCTTTGAAGGGCTCATTCATCTAATTCTTTGCACTGTTAGCTTAGTTATGTATCTGCAATGGACTGGCTCTCACTGGGCAAACCTGTGCTTCTTCCTGGGCTCCCAACATGTACATGTGATGGCCTACCAAGCATCTCCACTTGGAAGACCCACAGTCGCTTCTCTCTCACAGCCTAAACTGAACCGCCTCGCCACCACCATATGTCTTCTGGGCTCCACCGTCCATCCCCCAACATGCAGTCACCAAGCCCCATCAAGTCAACTTCTAAATAAATGTCTCCAATCTGCACACTTCTCTCCTGTCACTGCCACCACCTTAAATCACTGGGACTACATAGTATTATCTACATCAGTGGTTCTCAACCTTCCTAATCCTGCGACCCTTTAATACAGTTCCTCATGCTGTGGTGACCCCCAACCATAAAATTACTTTCGTTGCTACTTCATAACTGTAATTTTGCTACTGTTATGAATCATATGTAAATATCTGATATGCAGGATGTATTTT